CCCAATGTCCACGTTCACAGGACGTTTTTGTGGAGGGTCTACATTTAGAAGGCGGTAAGGAGACCTATTTTCAAAAGGCGTACCTTCCGAAGGCCTCCGTCCGGAAAAGCTTCTGCGTGCTTCAGGCCTGTTCGCGCTGGGCATGTGTTCATAAGGCTTACTTTCACAAACCTTAGTTCTGAACGCTTGCTCGCATGGGCTCCGTCAGAAAGAAAACGGAGGTGACGCCGCCCCTCCAAGGTTCGCAAACTTTTGAGAATACGCTTACGCGTTACTTGGCAAGAGACCTCTTTAAAAATATTAGTATCACCCAAACCTTTGCCCTCACAAGCTTTGTGCAGATAGGACCTCTCTACATTGGGTTTATAGAAAAAGCCCTTCAGAACACAAGCTTGGTATAAGTAGACCTGCCAAAACTAGGTTTTCGGAAAGGAGGGCCTCGGAGCGAATGCTTCCTAAACGTAGGGCTTCTCAACGTGGGTCTTATTAAAAAATAAGTATTGCGTGAATAGGCCTTCTGATTGAAAGGCGTACTCTCGAAACGCAAGACACTCAAAGGGAAATTGGGCCACCTTCACTACACTCGGAGGGAAAAGAACCTTCTGAAAATGGGCCTTAAACAGCTCTTTTGAAAATGGGTGAGAGACAGGGCGTTCTGAAATATCCTTCTTGTTCTCAGGCCTTTTGAAAAATAAGTTCCGAAAATAGGACTTTAACAAGCTGGTCTTGTGAGCTAACACCGGTCTGACATGCCGCCCGATGGTCCTTCATCTGCCATTTCAACTGGTGACGTCGGGTACATATGGCTGGTACCTTTGCTTGTTTTGGTCTCCTATCTCTGAACAGATGGGCAGGAGTACGTGATCCATGCGCATGTGACCCGATTACGTTAAATACCAAAGGGCATAGAAGATCGGGCTTGCGTACACGCTGAGTCGAATCGGTAAAGTTTCCTTCCCTTTCTTCAATAGCCCGCCACCAGTATCAAGCGTTGGTAATAAGCACGCTGCGAGATTCGCGTCGGCGTACAGCAGAGCTAACGACGTCCGCAGGAATCCCGGAGCCGATTATAGTTAGGCATTAGCGAGAACTTCAGCATTCGACGCTTGTTCCTGTGCCCATAATATGTCTCTTTCTACAGCGTGATTCTCCAGAAACTCAGCGCTTCGAGTCGCTTTGACAACAGCGTCAGCTGGTTAGGAATGCATTGGTATGGATTATGAGTAAGATGCAGGAGACAGCACATTGCTGGGTTTCGCATCGGCCATTGTCATCTCCAGGAGCTTGCTGACAGACGGCGCTCCTTGCAGACGGCGGCCTGCTGGCTCCGATAAGCAAACGGAACCAACGACAAATACAGCGCAGGAAGTTTGGGTGGTCCGATGAACCCGATCGCTGACGTACGTAAACGCAGACTCAAATAGCAGACGGAAATCTGGGGTCGTGCCCTTCTGCTCTGGAACGTTGTCGATGTTTGCGGATAAGTCTGACAGATACTTTTCCGCAAGCCCAAGTTACAGGCTGCCGACACTTCCAATCGCTGAGCTGGAACAATGACTAACGAGCTTGGCCGTTGAAAGCAGGTAGCAGCATGTTCTTCCAAACGTCTTGTGCAATATGGTTCGCAGGATAACTAGTGGCCGAGTGAGATACTGATGGGAGGCACACGCACATGTGGCAGCCATGGGTCGTGCGAAGATATCGCTCGGTGGCATTGAACACTGGGACACGGGAGACCGTAAGACCGCCTTGTCTCGGCTCAACACTTGCCAGTAAACAATGCAGGATTCGCGCCCACACCAGCGTAAGGTAACGCTGAACAAATCTTATACAAAGCAGGCATCACTTCATTGAAAATAGTACGTGTGCGCGACAGGAAGGCACATGAACTTGCAGATGCACTAACGTGGTACACGAGCGGCACTCAAGCACCGGTCCAGCCCCGACCACCGGCCATGCACCGGTCACCAAGCGCCGGCCGGTCGTGCTGTCAAAAAACTCAACATTCGGTTTGTATCACCTCAGCGTGTCTATCGTGGGTTTTCGTCTCTCGCAAAGAATATGCACATCCCAAATAGTATCATTAGATCACACCACTGGTTTTTCTTTCGCACGGGACACGTGATCGCTGCGGATAACACCGATTGAAGCCTGTGGGCCTTTTTGAGGATGAGCAGTTTGAAAGCACCTTGCCGACCGTGCTGGTAACGCCATTTGCTTGGATGCGTACTTTTGAGTTGTATTCTGTAAAAGTGGCAAATTACCTGCTACTCTGCTGCCGGTGCACTCTACCGCTGTCGCCCGCTTTAATGTCCAGGCCCCGAAAGTTCTTTGGGGATGCACCAAGGAAAGCACCACCTTCTTCACCTCTTCTGACTCCGGGCTACTGGAGTCCGTGGGTTGGCTCACGGACGGGACGTCTGGGAACACCATCGACGGTAGACGACTGACACCCTTGCTCTCCTTCACCCGGTGTTCACCTTCGTTCACCTGGTGGTGCAGCATCTTGAATTCCCTCTTGGCTCCTTAGAGCTCAGCCGTGACGGTCTCAACCTCTTCTTCTTTTTTGCTTTACCTTCAGATCAGGACGATCTACTCATGCAAATGTTTGGGAGGGTCAGGGGTCGAGCCAAGGGCTCGACACTGCGGTACCTTCCACGTGTTGTTTTAGCTTTTCCTCGATGTTATAATGCCCCAGCCTGGATTTAGGGGGCAAACCAGCATTGGGGCAGGGTCCTCAAATAAGGATACAAATAAATACCCCTGCTCGTAATGGTGTTTGTTGTCATGCAGCCCGACACTGACGCTACCAAATTCATCAGTCTGGCTTTTTATCTGGGCGATGTGTGCACATCCATGCCTACCATGTCACCGCATGAATTGATCCCATCTCGTTTCCTGGTATCCTAGACGAATTGACGCACGTTTTCTAACGCTTGGAATTGTTAGTCTCCGCAGTCAATTTCGGCCGACTGCTCCACCCACTCACATTACTGAGCCCTCGTCCGCAACACGAAGGGTACTTCAATTCAGGCAGTCGTAACACCATCCAGCCGAGGCCACGGTGCGGGCGTTCCTCTGCTGAGTCCGCCCCGCTCAGTGTGCCGAAGGCCTCCACGAGCTGACCTTGGGCCGGCGGGCATGGTCGCTGTCCGCTGTCCGGTCCGCTGTCGGCGCGTCACGCGCTGCGCCACGCATCACCAACTCGACCGCGTAGTCGAACACGCCACGGACCGCGACTAATGCGCCTGCAGCGATGGTTCCGTCCTGGCCCGATGACGTGTCCATGTGTCTCGACCGCACATGTGTCCGTAGGTCTCGACCCGCACATGTGTCCGTAGGTCCCGACCCGCTCATGTGTCCGTAGGTCGCGACCCGCATACGTGCTCGTAGGTCCCGGTTCGTGCATGCGTCCGTCCGCCCACGCACAGACCCGCGCACTGCGGTCCGCACGGCTGTCTGTGACCTTTATGACTGTTTGTTACTTGGAATGTTGTGCTTGTTCCGTTGAACTTCTGTCAGAGCGCCTGAATCTCATGGCGTGGGATCACAAGCTCCTGGCCGTCCGCCATGCTTAAGACTCACTGTAGGGGTGCACCGCCGGGACCTGGAGCGCGCGACCCATCTAGTCTACGTGGAAGGTCACTGTCGTACCCGGTCACGCTTCCCGACCTGCCCAACCGCACTCAAAAGAAGCGGCACCACACTCTGTCAGCGGAGAACTGCGACGTTCATCGAGCGGCCTCCCCGGCGCCGTTCGTCGCTCAGCGCTAGTGACGGCGGTCTACACGTGACACAGACGAGCTCTTTGACGGGCTCCGCCGCGATAACCCATGTAATAGCCCGCGCTCGGCTGCTGGCACCTCATAAATAAACCCGCGTTAGCGCAAAGCTGTACGCGTTCTTTCCAAAGCTGGGAAAGAGCCCCTTGCGAGCGAAGCGTGGGTATCGGCCACAAATTGTTCGCTGTGTTGTGTAGATGCGTTTCTGTTCGTTTCTGGGGACTTCGGTGTGGGCGTCTGCAAAGAGTTGTGGAGGATAGGCAAAATCAGTACCCAGGTCCAAAGCCTGGGTACTACAAAGGGTACTACAAAGCACAGCTAGAGGGCTGCTCAACAAGCCATCAAACGCGGCATCAGAATATCTGATGACATATAAACCCCAGTAAACTGTATATAATTGGGTTGGAGGCATATCTGGAGCCTGATATAAGGATCAAAGTTATATCTCTGGGAGTTGTAAGCGACCTGGACAATCAGTGGACTAGGAACGTTAGTTTTACATTTGACCCGGGTTGTCCGTTTTCATTGCATTGACTGTTAGGATAACTACATAAACCATGAAACGGGGTGTGGTTTTGGAAAGCAAGTCCGAGGAAAATCTGCAAAAATTGGGTTTCTCCTCGCATTTGACTCGCTTTCTGTTCAAAGTTGAGAGTGGGGGAGGAAAGGAAGGGGGGGGGGGAGGGCGCCGGGGCCCCAACTGAATTTGAAACCACGCCCCTGGCACGAAGCGATTCGCACAGTCAGACCCAGTACATAGGCTCACAAACATAGCGTACAGTAATTCAACCGGAAATACGCCATCAGGCAGGCGAGCAGAGGCGGGCAATTTCCAGCTTGGCGCGCCAGTGTAATCAAAAGGCGTCAACAGTGATGTAGATCACGTTAATGTGAATCCGTCAGTGGTTAACAGTTGGTTGCAATGGACGCATGTCAAAGAGTGTACCAAACATATCCAAACTCACCGTCTCCCAGCCTCATTTCATTAGCGTCGTGCCAGGTGCGTGGCGCGATTCTCTGGTGGCGACATCAGTCAGTCGGCGACGGTGCCGGGTCGCGCCGTACGGCTTCCACCGGCCTGCGTGCGTATCGCATGGCTCCAGCGGGGGGCGCCGCTGTCGCTTGGTCACAGCTCCTGACCACCCCACTCCTCGCCACCCCAGACCGCGCGCGCCTGCCTCCGTCCGGCCTCTCACCCAGCTGTGTCCACCGTTGCAGGTGCGGTAGGCGCCCGCCATGCCGCTGTCGCTGCGTCTGCCGCTGCGGCGCGTCGAGCTGGACGCGGCGCCGGTGGTGCGCAGCATGGAGGAGGGCGACACGCGGCTGGGTCGCTCGCGGCTGAACGCCACCGTCCGGCTGCGCCACCTGCTGCACGGGTCAGAGCGCCGGCGCAAGGCCGACCAGGAGTTCAGCGCGGCGCAGTCCACCGGCTCCATGGCCGACTTCGAGCTGCAGGAGCTGCAGGAGATGCTGCAGGAGCAGCCGTCGGTCGGCGCCCGCCGTTGGGACAAGTTCCGCTCCCTCTGGCAGCCACAGGACCTGGAGAACAACCTGAAGCAAATGCTGCGTCTGGCAGGCTGCTCGCTCCGGATCTTGGAGGCGGTCAAGCAGGAGGACAATGAACAGCTGATGACGCTGTGCGCCGACGACGAACTGTCACTGGTCGAGGAGGAGGTCGGCATGCTGGCCGGCTGCCTGTTCGGGCGGCCGAAGCTGGTGAAAAAGATGTTGAAGAAAGGTGTGCTGGTGTCGTCAGCGGACACGGACGGCCGGTCGGCCCTTCACCTGGCCGCTTTCTCGGGCAACCTGGACACGGTTAAGTGCCTGGTGAAGTACGGCGCCAACGTGAACGCCTTGGACGGCCGGCAGTCGACGACGCCACTGATCTGCGCGGCGGCGGTCAGCTCGGCTGACACGGTCGCCTTCCTGGTGGACAACGGCGCCGACGTCGACGCCGGCCTCGACCCGAGCGACGAGACGGCGCTGCACTACGCCGTGCGCGCCAACTCGTACACCTGCGCAGAGCTGCTGCTGAAGGCGGGCGCGCGCACGAGTGGCACCAACCCGCGCGGCGAGACGCCGCTGCACGTGGCCGCGGACTACGGCTTCGACCGCTGCATGGGTCTGCTGCTCAAGCACGGAGCCAACGTGGACCTGGTGAGCGGCACCGGCAGCAAGACGGCGCTCCACCTGGCCGTCGAGGACGGCAGGGTGCAGTGCGCCAAGCTTCTGCGAGAGTTCGGCGCGCGGATCGACCTGAAGACGAGCCGCGGCCAGACGGCTCTCCACCTGGCGGCCAAGGCGCAGTCCGTCGAACTGATCGAGCTGCTGCTCTCCTGGGACGCAGACATCAACGCCAGAGACAACGACCTGCGCACGCCGCTGCACTGCTCCATCGGCAAGCAGTGCCGCTCGCTGGACACCATCAAGGTCCTTGTCAACAACGGCGCCCTCATCAATGAGGGCGACATCGCCGGCTACACGCCCCTTCACTTGGCAGCGATAAACGAGTTCTCCAGCTGCGTGGAGTTGCTAATGGACCATGGCGGTGACGTAACCTTGCGCAACCGGGGCGGTGTGTCCTGCCTGCAGCTGATCAAACACCGCACCCCGTCCGTGCTGACCAATCTGCCCGACCGCTTCAGCAGGTCCATCCTCTTCTACGAGCGCGATAACATACCCAACAACAAGTTTGCGGAGCTGAAGATTTCTTTTAATCCGCTGATGTCTCAGGCAAAGGGTGAATGCCACTTTCTGAAGGCGCTGATCGACATTGATCAGAAACACCTGCTCAAACATCCGCTGTGCGAAAGCTTCCTGCATATGAAATGGATGAAAGTGCGCAAATTTCTGTTCTTCAACGTGTTTTATTACCTGGTGTTTTGTATTTTGCTGAGTGCGTATGTCCTTGGCACCTGTCCCGGTGACTGCTTTAACGTAGGTCGAGGGTTGCAACTGGGACTGTGCTCAGGAATCTCGTCGGAAGGGCTGGTGACTCTGCATGCGAAGTGCCATGGTTCTGATCCGCCGCCCATTCAACTGACGTGCTCCGCAAACAAAACCAATGCCCCAACGAGGCTGGATTTGTGTGACTGTGCCAAGTCCAGTTTTCAACTGCTGGCTGTGCAAAAGCCTTCGTTCTACACGGGCCTGTGGTACTTGCTCGTGGTCTTCGATGTGACATTAGTTTTCAAGGAGATTTTTCAGCTCGTTCAGGATCCTCCGCAGTACTTCCGCAATCCAGAGAACCTGGCCGAGTGGGCGCTCATGTTCTTTCTGCTGCTGATCGGAACGCCAATTTTCGGGGACATAGCTCTCTGGCAAAAACATTTGAGCGCTCTCGCCGTCCTCACCTGCTGGTTCGAGTTAATGATGCTGGTCGGTCGGCTTCCTCGGCTCGGCCTCTACATCCACATGTTCTCCAAGGTGCTCAAGGAATTCTTCCAGTTCTTGCTGGCGTACTGTTCGCTGGCGATCGGATGTGCGGTGGCATTCGTTGTCCTGTTCCAGCGATACGACCCGCTGTCAGACCCTCTGAGGGCTGTACTTAAGATTCTGGTTATGATGACCGGTGAGCTCGAGTTCGACGACATGTTTTACTCGGATGGCAACAGGGACTCGATCCTGGATCCTACCGCCTCACTGGTTTACACTGCCTTTATCTTGGTGATGACCATCATTCTCATGAATCTGCTAGTCGGCCTAGCCGTCAGTGACATTCAGGGCCTACAGAGAACAGCTAAGCTCGGCCGGCTGGTGCGTCTCACCGAACAGATATCCCACATCGAAGGTACGCTCTTTTCCAATGTGATTGCACGCCTACTGCCCAACAAGTTGCTGTCCTGGATCGCCGAGATGGCCCTCGTCTCGCCGTCCTCCTATCGGTACACGATGGTCCTTCGTCCGAATGATCCCAACGATCGACGTTTGACGCGCGACATCATGAACGCGGCCTGCCGCGTGGCCGAGACGCGCAACAAGCAGGCACTCCGTCACGCGAAATTCCGCCGCCAGATTTCCACCGTGTCGTGCGAGTCGGACGTGAACCAGCCGGTCCAGGGCGGCGGGCCGCACGAGCGAGACGGTCTCGCCGTCACCGAGGACATGATCCGAGACGGAAAGCTGCAGGCGCTGGAGTCGCAGATGGAGGTGGCGCAGTCGGCGTTGGGGGTCCTGCTCGCCGAGGTGCGCGCCGTCGCCAAGGTGCTGAACGCGCTCAGTGAGAGGCACGGGCTGCCGACGGTGCCGGTCATCCACACGCCGACCGGTGTGAGGGTCCCACCGACGCATGGGCGCGACAACGCGGCCTTTAGCCCCGAGGAGAGCCCCAACGTGCAACACAAGCCGGCCACGCCCTCTACGTCGATGGAGAGCGAGGCTTGATCACCGGGACTGGACGGCGTGGCGGAGGGGTGTCGCGCTGATAGGACTGTACGTCCGGAGCGGGACGTTTGAACGCCCGGACGAGATGTCTGCGAATGACGATGGTCGACCGTCGGAGGCGGACACCGCTGGGCAGTGACGAGCGTCCGTCGGGACTGGGGGACTGTGAGTCACGTGGTAGTCACGTGACGTCACCGGCCGAAAGGGTCGCGACCGTGCCTCCGAGAGTGTCGCGCAATCTCCCCGGGGCTTTGCGGGTCTGCGTGAAAACGGCCGGCTCGGTTGCTTAGTTGCGCTTGTGCACATGTACTTAAGGTTCTCGTTGAGGTGGTTTCGAAGATGTCGACTCGGTCTGCAGTTTACATCGCCTTTCCACCCGCGCATGGTGCGTGCCTTAAGACTCGATTATGTGCCCAGTATCACTTTCAGGAATGTCGTAAGCTTCCCCGAATGGATGGCCGCTTGGCGTCGTTGTTGTTTTATATTGTTAAAGACGACGCACTCTGCATGGGAAGTGTATGTGCACGCCACGGTTTTATCATGACGTTGCGTTTTCCTTTCAGAGTAAGGCATGCAGCACACATGTGAGCCTCTGTTGCGCTTGCGGGAACACCCCGATGTACTCAACCCGTATGTGATGAGCTGAATAGACGAGCTGTGGCCTTCTTATGACGGACGGGCGTGACGTGTACGTGTTTCAACGGTCGACAGAACCACAGAATGGCCTGGTTGTCCTCAGTGTACAGTTTTCGATCGCAAAGTATCAAAATTAGCAGGCCACAAGAAGACGGAGCCAAGATGGCTGTGGTGTCACTTATCCCATCAGCTAAATTTGTGAGGCGCTCCATCTATATACGCTGCGGGCACGCATTGTGCTGACGGCTGGTTGGGTGCCGACCGTCATCCTCTCATGCAATCTGATTTATAGTATTTTGAAATAAGGGCGTTGAAAAGCGATAGCTATTCAGAGTTTGACCACAGACTACGTTGCGCGGAGATGGTAAGAGGTAGGCGGAGCGTAACCGAGCCGCACCAAGGCAGGTTTGGACAACGTACCGTCGCGATTAGGTGTCGTAAACGATGCTGAAATAATTGAGAAAATATGTTTCAAGGCGTTTAAGTTCCGCGCCGCTTTGGCTTCCTACCGTGACAAGCAACTTGCCCGTTATTTGTCACATCTCTAGCTCAATGAAGGACCGAGTGAACGTAAATTCTTTGAGACGTTATGGTGAGACTTTCACTGGACTCAGCGTAACCGGGGATAGAGGTTTCGTTTGGTGCAAACAGTGCGTAATCGGAGAGGAGGAACGAGGAGCAAAAAAAAAACAAATACGTGATGTGATTCTTGCGTAAGCGTGTCGATGTATGTTCATTCAAAAACATCGCCCCTTAGAGGCAATCCACAGTTTGTGTGGAAAAAACCCTTTACGGTCCTTCAGACTTCGGAATCCTGTAGGACAGCCCTGTGGGATTTTAGCATCCTGTAAAGCGGCATCAACAATCATGACTGGGCCTCAAGACGGTCCTGCTGGATTTTGAAATCTTGCCGGGCATTTCACACCGCCTATGCATACATCGACACTTGAGACCGTGAGAAATTTAATGGTTCCTGGACGTGCCATTGAAAGTTGTTGATCACCTTGCATAACCCGGAACTATCTTTGCACCGGACCATGATAAAGAGGAGCAAAGCACTTGACGGCACTTATTCTATCAACTGCATTTCAATGGAAAACCGAAAAGGACTCGCAACTTTGGGAAGGTTAGGCAATCTGTCGAACATTATACCACCTTCGACAGCACTGCGTCCCCTGGTCAGCAATCGTCCCTACGAATCAATCGTTTTATGCCTTGTGAAACCGGTCGCGAACAGCCTAGCACGGTACGGTCTGACACCGTGGCCATGATTATGAGACATGCACGCGCCTGCTGTTCACTGACACCGCGCTTGCGGTACGCTTCCACTGACAACTTTGTCGGACAGCGGCATGGTGTCAAAAAGCTTGTACCGGAGACTTGTGCGTCATTTGGGCCAAATGCATTGGTGCGTTACCGTTGTATTGTTGGAGGCAACAATGGCCTACTATTGGGCCCCAGGCCATCGTGAATACATTTTACTTTTTGTGAGGTCCGGACGCTACTGCTTCATGACTGAACGGTGGTTTGTTTTCAGTTTTGCAGTCCCGAAGTAGCAGCTACACGTGCTGAGGTGTCGTAAGTCACTAAGCATATTAAGGTGACATTTAATCCGGCTGAGCATGAATCAGTTTTTCATCTCAGAGATAGTAAAAAAAGCGATGGGACTGCAAAATCCATGGCGATAAACCTGATGCAGTCGTTACATATTTGGACGCAGCCTGAAACGCGTGTGGCTGTGTCCACCACTCGCCGCGCGTCGGTGACAGTGCAGAAGACGTCGCCAGCAGTGGCTGTGCAAACGCCTGGGTCGTTTCACGTCGCCGGTTCTACCTACAAAGTCGGCGCAATGTCCGACCCGTAAAGCTGCCGAGAAGACTGAGTGATGCAAGCCACCGCTTAAGCGGCTTTGGAGACCACGTGAAGGGTGTGCAGGCTCAGCTTCGATCAAGCAGTTGATTGGCGTATAAATGCCAGTTAAGAAACGTGCACATGTATTTTTCAAGCTCGATCTAGGCTCACTACATATTGCCATTTCACCCTTTCCACAGCCATTTTTTGTCATTTTGCTAGACCGCAACCTGACGTCGGCGGCACCTTGGTTTCCACTAGATTAAACAATGGTAGTTATGACTGTTGGCGGGTCTGACTTTGTGAGTGTAGCTCGCATGATGGATCAACAGCCAATCTGTACAAGGCCGCCCTGCTCTGCCTGGCTGCTCACGTCATCTACAATGCATGACAATGCAGATGTGCACACAGCCGCCGTTGATGGCCGCGCAGCAGATCCAGGAGGTCGGGGGTTCCCCGAGGGAGGTCCGTTGTTCCCAGAGGGGCTCCCGTCACGAGCTCGCTGCGCCAGGGCCGGTGCGCCCCGGCCGGCTGCCGGCTGCGAGTGGCGAGGTCAGCCTGGCACTGAGGTCAGCCTGGCACGAGGTCAGCCTGACCGAGGTCGGCTTGGGGCGGGCGGCGGCGGCCAGTCGGTCCGCATGGTGCGGTCCGGCGGCGTAAGCGGCGCGCTGCAAGACCGCGGGAAGCCGGCGCGCTGCCGCGGCAGACGGGGGCCGTGACTGTACGGGACAGCTGGGCGGCCCGCGCCCGCTTTGATGGGCCGCAACGAGCTGAATGGATGGCTGACGCGTCCGCCCACGCCTGATCCCACTGACAGGGACGGGCTTCACGCCAGGCGGACGGGGACACAGCTCCCCGGCGGACAGGGACACAGCTCTCCGGCGGACAGGGACACAGCTCCCCGGTGGACAGGAACACAGCTCCCCGGCAGACGGGGACACAGCTCTCCGGCGGACAGGGACACAGCTTCCCGACAGACGAGGACGCAGCTCTCCGGCGGACAGGGACACAGCTCTCCGGCGGACAGGGACACAGCTCCCCGGCGGACGGGGACACAGCTCCCCGGCAGACAGGGACACAGCTCTCCGGCGGGCAGGGACACAGCTCCCCGGCGGGCGGGGACACAGCTCCCCGGCGGACGGGGACACAGCTCCCCAGCGGACAGGGACACAGCTCCCCAGCGGACAGGGACACAGCCCCCAGCGGACAGGGACACAGCTCCCCGGCAGACAGGGACACAGCTCCCCGGCAGACGGGGACACAGCTCTCCGGCAGACGGGGACACAGCTCCCCAGCGGACAGGGACACAGCTCCCCGGCGGACGGGGACGCTGTTCCCCGGCGGACAGGGACACAGCTCCCCAGCGGGCAGGGACACAGCTCCCCGGCGGACGGGGACGCGGCTACCAGGCGGACAGGGACGCGGTTCCCCGGCGGATAGGGACGCGGCTCCCCGGAGGACAGGGACACGGCTCCCCGGCATACAGTAGCAGTGGTGGATACAGGGGAGGGGACAGGGAGCATGCACCCCTCCCCCGCCCCGATCGTCCAGACGCCCAGATTTTCATTGGAATAAAATTAACTTTCTACGCACAAAGGCCGTCTCCAAAAAAGCATGAGTGTCTTCCAACCCCGAGCAATTGCATGGATCTGCCCCTGGCCACGGACACGACTCACTCCGGGTGGACGCGATCATTTGGAAGCGGAAACATGCTTCACACCGGACACAGTCTCATCATGATTCATCACACCGATACATAACTCGCAGTGATATGTCATACCGATACAGGACTCACTATTTTTCATGCCACCGATACACGACTCGCTACGATATATCTCACTGATACATGTCTACTACGAAAAATCACGCTGATATATAGCTTACTATGAGATACCACACCGATAAATGACTGACTATGACATATCACACAGGTATTATGGGGTAGCACATCGATACACGACTCACTACGATTTATCATACCGATACATGAATTGCTATGAGGTATCACACCTAGCATTAACTCACAATGGTATATCACACCGAGCATTGACTCACAATGCTATATCACACCGACAATGGCTCACTATGGCACACCACACCGATACATGACTCACCTGCCAACCAGTCTCCACGCGGCGTGCGCTGAGCGCGACATAGCATTCTGTGCTCCACGCATGACCTTGACATGCCAAGAAACGGACCAGATCCCGATCACAGGGCCTCGGCATGCATCACGGCGCAGCACGTCGCATTTATGCAGCCATGTAACGGCGGATTTGGGGCCATGCTCGCGCATCAAGCGCCATAAAATGGACCGCGTTACGCTCATGGGTAGCTGGATCGGCCCTGAGTGAAGGGCCACATAGTGGCCGGCAGCCTGGCTGTTGCTTTGTCTTTGGTTCACCACTCTGAGCCACGAATAATAATTACTGTTGGTATCAGGCAACTTCTTCCGTGTAGAGCAACCACTTACTGTATTGTTCTATAAACACGTAGTGATGCTTACCTTTGGTCATGTTACTTATGCTTTGCTTAGCCCAAAACATTTTTGGCGCTACAGTATTAGCATACCCGCTACCCACGTTCCTTGTTGCTTCAGAACCACATGTGTGACATATTTCATAATTTTCAGATAAGGCCACTCCGTTAGTGAGTGATGCTGGCTGTCAGTGCCGCAGCCGACGGTCGCAGTGAGCAATACGGAATGCTACAAAGCAAGTCGGTCTGGCCTGAAGCTTTACCTGACCGCCAGCCGAGAAAGATTTCATATCGCACCGTTGCCTTCGCCAGCGGTGGGGGGTCCTTCTCTGTGTGGCCTTCGCAGGTGCTTCCCAGGAGGCTCGTGGCTCGGCGCTGGGACACGAGTGACAGTCAGCGGGAGAGATGTTGGCTTAAAATAACAATGGAGGATGGAACGTGCCGTGCATACCCACTGACACTATGAGACCTGAATCCGCTGACGCCATCAGACCCGCATCCGCTGACACTGTCGGACCTGTACCCGCTGACGCCATCGAACCTTTATCCGCTGACGCCGTCAGACCTGTATCCGCTGACGCCGTCAGACCTGTATCCGCTGACGCCGTCAGACCTGTATTCGCTGACGCCGTCGAACCTTTATCCGCTGTCGCCGTCAGACCTGTACCCGCTGACACCGTCGGACCTGTATCCGCTGTCGCCG